AAAAGTTTGGTGGTGTGTGTGTGTGTGTGTGTGTGTGTGTGTGTGTGTGTGTGTGTGCGCTGGCACTGGCTTGCCGACCCACTGTCTCCATCTGTGGTTAACTGAGCTCTCTTTAGCAGAGAACATCTCCTCTCCCTTTTCTCCTCTTCTTCCATCAATAGAGTCTTTGTCAGTGTTGTTCTTCATCATTTATGCATTAATGCAACATGACATAAAAGGAAATAATGTCCTTAAAAATAAAAAATGTGGGCTAGTATTTTCAAAGTGATTTGAATTTAGAGTAGTGCTTGAAGCTTTTATTTGGTGGAGAGGAGTAAAATCCTGTGATGATCCTTCATAATGTAGCTGGGTGGCTGTAGTTGTTTCATCATGAGAACAATCATGAGAATAATTTAAGGGTATTGACAGATGGTCATTTTTTATGGCATACTCCTGAATCACTTCATCATCACTATGGAAACTGTGTGTGTGCTCCTTTAATTTGAGTGAACTGAGCTGAAGGTCCCACAGATTTGTTATATTAAACTGTAATCTTCAATCATCTCTAATTTATTGGATCCCCAGCTGCTTCTCTTGCTGCCCCCATCCTTTGAGTGTCTTTGCTTGTGCATGAGTTCGCATATACATATGTATGCCATATATGCATGTGTGTCCCCCAAAGCAATAAAGTCTTTCATTTTTTTATATCTCCATCTCCCATATTCCCACCCACACATAATTGAACAGCACTGCAGCCTGTGAATATTGTGTTAGAGAGACACCCGCTGGTAGGTGTAGGGAGTGCACTTCACATGTTACCTACTGAACATAGAAGCCCTACCCATTAAGGAGCTCAGACAGGTGCTACTAATTTAGATTAATGAGTGGAGTAGAGGTGGACTTTTTCAAGGCACAGTAACAGGTCTTTGAGAGCCAGAATTCTTGCTGTTTCTCAGGTGTTCAAATACTTATGTTCAGCAGTGCAAGACAAATAAATTCTTTAATAATCATACAATGTGATTTCCTGATTTTTTTTTTTTAATTCTGTCTCTCAGAGTGGGAATGCACCTACAATGTGAATTTCAGACCCCTCCATGATTTCTAAGTGGGAGAACTTGCAAAATCGCAGGGTGTTCAAATACTTCTGTTCCTCACTGTACATTTTTTAAGACATTCAAATAAATACCTATAAAGTACTTGCACAGACAAAAAATAATATCTATGCATTAGGTGCCAAGTCACTGTCATGCACAAGTATTAATCAGATGATGCATCTTTTTGCGACATACAGAAGCAGCTATGCAACATGACAATAGTGGAACCACTTATAATTAATCTCACCTGTTTCTCTTTTCTACCTCCTCCACCAGCTCATCAGTGGAAAACTGCCCTCTGACCACCACGATCAGGTTCTTGATGACATCCTCAGCACAGTCTACATCCAACAGTCCGCCTATCACTACTGGTAAACGACTAGGGTTCACCTGAAAACAACAAATGCAATTAATTCCTAATGGAAATATCAAAATGCTGTTTAAATAAAGGGAAACCTGAATTAGGTAGTCATCAGTTATGTAAAGTCTCATCAGTAGTCTTGATCTTACTTTCTGTACGTAGATTTCAATGTATTTCTGTAAATTGTTGCGGTAGAGGTAGAGCACCAGGTCATGGACAAAGTCAAAGCGATCACACACAATGATGAGAGGAAGCTGGTCTGTTAGTTTGGCCTCCTATGAAGACAAGAAACATTAGGCTTATGTGCGACTAATTTGATTAAATGGATTGTATATTATGTCACAAAAATTGTGGCATAAGGGCCTTTTACCTTGAGGAAGTTTTTAACCCTCTCTGGATCATAACAGTTGCTCTCTCTACAGATTCTCTCCACTTCTTTGATCTGGCCTGTCTTACAGGCAGCCTGGATGTACTTAAAGTGAACGTCAGGCTCCTGACTGAAATTCACAATTGACCCAAGGAAGTAAAACAAGCCTTGAAAAGAGATGGAAGGGGGAGAAACAGCACAAAGGTCAGCTCCATCTATTATTACTTATGGCTTGAACAAAAATGAGATAAATGTCTCATTTATAACACGTTCCCTCTCTTTAATTCAACATTACCAAGACTCATATGGCACCCCCATTCATGTGTGACACTTACCCTCATAACTTTTGAAGGATTCAAAGAGCTCCACTAATGCCTGAGTTCCAAGCTGCTCGTGATACTTGGATGCTACCTGGACACACAGCTGCAGGTTCTGTCTAATGTTAGCTGACAGCATGGCCCTTAAACACTCCAAAGAGTCTTCAACTGACAAGGAGCCAAAAAAGTTTACCAGCCACTACATGAAAAACCAGAATAAGAAGAGAAAACAAAAGGAGAGGGCATGGTGAAAGTGAGAGAGAGCATATCATCACATCATTAAAAAGAGAGTAAAAAGCAGTCGCTCTCCAGAGACTGGTATTCACAAGCTTGACCAAACTTTCATAGGCATACCTCGGGGTTGAGCAGATGTGTGTGCACCACAGCTCTCTTGATATCATACAGGTCAGTGTAGTGTTCAAGTGCTCTCTGCAACAGACCTGCCTTCTCGCACAGCTGTGCAACGTGGGCACGATCATAGTGTGTGAACATCTGGTTCCCCAGGATCGCATCTGCTACCTAAAAATTTAATACACACACAAGAACACACACATTGTGCAAACCTACTACCACAGGTGAAGATGGTTTTTGAAAATATGAGAATGAGTCTGAGCGTTCACCTGGGGGGCGTGTATAAGGTTCATCTCCAGTAGACGCGTCTGCAAGTGTCCTTCAGCTGGCCGGTTGTTCTTTAGAGCATCCAGTAGGAAGGAGGTGCACTGCTGGATCAGGCTGCCCTCCATGAATACATCAACAATCTACCAATAAGCAAGAGAAAAACGAGAAATGGATAAAAATAGAAAGTTAGGGAAAATTTTTTATTTTGATTTCCTACCATCTGTGAACCATTATTTTAGGTAGCATGCAAGGTGAGATTAGAATAGGATTAAGTGGTCATGTTGATGTGTGTTCTACCTGGTTGATGTTGGCCAGTGGCTCCTCATCCTGGACCAGCATCTGGGCAAACTGCAGTCCCTGATCTGGATTGACACGCATCACATTTCTCAGCAAAAACACCCAGTCTGGGGTGTAGCCCACCTACAACAGTACAGTTGGACAAGTTCAACAGTTCAATTCAGTGATCATGAATTAATACAAAGAAATGCATATACAATTTTTTATTTTCTTCTGCTAGCCAAAAACACCCTGAGCTTTACATGCAACAAATAAAAGGACTGTGTTCCATGTTTAGTTAAACAATGAAAAGTCAACCTGCTCCCTGGTTACCTTTTTAGCGTAGAGCACAATCTTCTGGAACTGACCAGTCTCTGCGAAGCACTGGATGACCTTGTTGGGGACGTTAGCTCTGAGGTACATACTAAGAGCAAGTGTGGGGTCAGAGGCTTTCACCAGGTCTCCCAGCTCCTCTGAGCACTCCAGCTACAGCACATATACAGTTTTTGTTACCAAATGGGATTTAATGATAACTACAGGGTAAACAAGCACAATTTATAGATGTGGAATTGTATCAAAAAGGTATCAAGTGTTTGCTTACACCTCACTTTCACCATGATCATTTTTCAACATCACTTTTTGAAATTCCACTCTGTATCTGCTGATCAGCCCAGGCTTATGAAAGCTGACTTGTTGCTCTAATCCTCCAGTCCTACCTTGTCCTCCTTCAGCCATTTCTCCAGTAGCTGCTTGCGGCCCTGCTGCAGGACAGGCCTGCACAGCTCCAGAGACTCAAACTTGTTGAGCTGACCCTGGTCGAGCAGGATACCAAAGTACTGCAACAGTGGAGAAGCCTGACCCGGCTGTGCCGGGACACTCTGAAACTTACGGATAGTCTCTGCCGTTCGGAGGATACCCTGAGCGGAGACAAGAAGGTAAAGACAGGAGAGATTATAGGTAATGAAAAAACAAGGACGCATATGAAATAAAAAAGTAATTCTATTATATCTTCTACTTTTTAGTAATACTGTGTTCATGTCATGTTGGCAGAATGGGCAGGACGGTCATAGCTCCCACTGAAACGATTCAGGAGTGTTCACACAGCAGTTCAGGATGGTGGCTGACCCCAATGTAGTCTGCTACAACTGAGGCTGCTCTGGGTCAGTTAACTGCAATGTTATTTTATTTTGTGTGACCACACAACTCGACTGCTCCTTATTACTGTTTAAACGACATGACATGAACACAGTCCAAAACTGAATCACAGTGGATCTAACAGGTATTATAGTTTTTAAATCATCAGCAGAAAAATACACTACAAGTTGATCCTACCGTACATTAAGCACAAAATAAAAATAGCTTCAAGTCCTTTTCCTAGTGTAGTAGCAGATACAGACTTACCTTGGGCGCTGATGCAGCAACCTTTGCAGCCTCTGAATAACTTCCTTGGGCAAACAGAGTGTTGAACTTTCTGGCAAAAAGCTCCTCAGCCCCAGCAAGGTTGGACCTCACAGCAATCCTCAAGGCTAGATCAGGGTTCTGCAGGACGTTCGTGGCATAGTTGACAACGTTCTCCTCTTCAACACACACTGACAAGACCTAGAAAGAAAAGAATAGGTGAGATTGTGTTCTGTGCCGCCAGAACAACACTTAAATATTCATCTTAAACATCAAAAGCTGTTACTTCAACAAAAGGGATAATTCTTGTTCCCCTTTCACTGCTAGTTTCTCACCTGTCCTTTCTTGTTGACCCCAATAATTCCAGAGGTGGCTTCATGAGGGGCAGTTACAAAGATGGTCTCTGCGCTGATTCGATTCATGTAGATACACACTCCAGTTTCCAGGTCGTACAGGTGAATATAACCGTATTTTGTGATCAAATATATTACACCGTACTTACTACCAATCTGAAGAGAAAGATGAGAGAGATTTCTAGCCTGAAGCAGTTACCCTTAGTTTTGGACAAAGCTAATGAGAAGCAGAGGTCTTTTCTTACCTGCATAGCTACAGGAAAATCTGTCTGGGCCTCTGGAGGGAAAAACACATCCACTGCTTTCTTGGTAAATGGCTGGTTTCCTGCAGCTGGCTGGCCAACTTCAATAATATGCAGCTGGAAGAAGAAAGCCCACACAAAGTATCAACCACAGTTGACAGACAAACACGGTAAAGTGGCTAAAGCACAGCCGAGGGCAGTCAATGCACATGAACAAACTGACTTTCTTGAACTTTTGTGCAATTCCAAGCTCTTTGTTCAGACACTAGACTAAATAGTGTGACAGCATGATGAGTGAAATCCTTGTGTACACCTTTCCTCCAGCCTGTGAGCGCACAGCAAAGCAGAAGAGGGTGCAGGGTTTGGCATTGCCCTCCAATTTGAACTCTCCAAAGGCAGCAGCGTGGCCCTCGATGGGCTGGGACACTTTTCTGTCAACAGAATACAGCTGCATCGCCCCAACCACACGGTTTTGCTGCAGGTCAAAGGCAAAACAAGAGGGAAGAGTTGATGATATCTTTCCATTATCTTCCACTGTATGAGGCATGAGTAAACTGTGTCCTTTCATACCTGTGCAGAAATCCCTATCAGCAGTAGCCACTTCTGTTGTTCGTCAGTTCTGTAGTTAATGATCTGACATCCCGCCAGACTAGCATGCCGATCGAATACTTTGGCTGGTTGGGAATCCCCCTCCATGCTCCAGTGATACACAGCTGTATCGGTCACCAGGGCAACAGTGTTTACCGATATCCACTTCCAGAACATGACTTCCTCAGTCATGGTGTGGGCCTTCATCTTGCTCTTCATCTCAATGTTGAAGATCTGCAGCGTCTTGGCAGCTGAAAAGAGGTGAAGAAACAGAGGGAGGAAAAGAGACAGGCAGGAAGAGGTCGATATCTGAGCCTCGACGGTAAGATAGAGACAGCTATCAGTACTGTTTTTATGACCTGCATGGCAACTACTATAAGTCTGTAACACATTTTCTGCTGATATAATCACTTTATATCTATAAACTATTTATACCAAGCTAATTTTGGCATAAATAATGATTAGAAATACAAACAAAAACATTTAATCAACATTTCAACTGACATGTAAATGAATCTGTGCATACAGTACTTGAGATAAGAGCCTGTTTTGTTTGTCAAGTTGTCAAAAAAAAAAAACAACCTAAATTACAAAAATTATTTATAATCTAGCCACACGGGGTATAAGTTTCATTTTATTTGTGCAGATATCAGTCTCTGAAATTTCTGCCACCACCTTAACACAATATAGTTTACAGCACTGACTGAAAAAAATACAATGAAAGTATAATTAAAGAAGTGAATAAAAATGTCACTGCTACTGTGAATAATCCACAGACCTCCATATGGGCAGGTTTGACACAGAAACTAGGACAGAGAAGGTCTGTTTTTTCTATTAAGGGTGTTTTACAGGCCAAGTAGAAACCATTCTGTGTGCAGTAGCCTGGCTGACACATCCTGGATACAACTGACCTCTTGCTACAGGTCAGAATGACTAATGGACTAAACCTGAAAATACTACAGCCATAATAATGTTTCTGTACCCTAGAATACTGTTGTTAGTCCTTATAGTCCAATACATAACTAAACTCCACTCACAAATAAAAAGTTACAGATAAACAAACAGGTGAGGTAATGCATGATTCACGTGAATACAGCTGTTGTACAAACCCCCACCGGCACACACAGGTATGACACATCCCTTACTGTATATGCAGCAAGGAAAGATCTGAACATTGACAAGGCTGCAGTCACACGCTCCCGCAGTCACCCCAAGATACACACAGTGCTCTAACTGTTTACTGTAATATCTGATGATACATACCAGGCATACACTCCACCAGCACACAACAAGTCATGTTAACACATGTATAGTTCTCACAAATGTAGGCTATGTGACAACGGGTTAGGTTGAAGCAGGGGTGTGATACTGAGGCAATTTAGTGGCAGTAGAAGTCATTGTTTGTCTTCTGACTGATTAGTGGTCAAACTAGCTCTATTTGATGTGAGGTATGTGGCAAGCTTTTATGAGAGAGACATGGCTACTGTATCACCACAATAGAGTGCTGGATGGTTAGACAGACAGAAAGCAACTCACCATCTGAGAAATGACAGAAAGCAAGGAGAAAAGCAAAAGGAAAAGCAAGTGTCAATCAGATAAGAAAAGGGGAGACCGATAGAAAACAGGGAAAGGGCAAACAGGGGCAGATTATTGTCAGAGGGAGGGGGGGGAAGGAGAGAGAGAGAAGCATTATAGGCAAATCATACTCAGTAGGGCTTGTGCTTCAAGGGCTAGATTCAATGGCACAAAATCAATCTGCACAACCAATTTACTACATAAGGCAATAGAAGTGAGTGCACTCTATATTTACAGCACTGACAGAGCATTAGTCACCGCATGACTGTGGCATTCCCACAGCAATAATAGTACATGGCTAAGTCTGTTAAAACTAAAGACAAATAAACAGCACCAATGTCATGCAGACTTTATTCTGGGAATTTACAAGGCAATAATAATCTAAGCACTTGGTATAAAGCCACCAATAATATTTCTCATTTAACAGCCCTTGGTGTGGCCGTCTGAATGGGCCTCGTACGTCTCACCATATATGCTCTTACCTTTCAGGGCGATGACCTTGCTAGCAGGGTTCATGATGGCACTGTCGGCAGAGATTGGTCTCCTGATTGGGTTGGAGGGGTCAGACATGTCCACGATCACCACCTGATTCTGCTCTCCCACCTTCTCCCTGATGCAGATGAACTTGTCTGACTCCATGGTGAGATAGCTAAACCCGATGTTGGCTGGGTTCACGCCCAGGTTCTGCAGCTGAAAATATTAAAAAAAACAAAAACAAATTTTAAATACAGCAACAATGACATTCCTTCTCATTACCCAGTGAGATTGCATAATTTTACTTTAACCTTAGGTAGCATTTAAAAGCAGCTGTTTACAACACTATAACTATAAGCAGTCAAAAATACATTGAAACTTAATTATGTCTTTGTCACAATATAACTTGAGGAAGAAGAGGTTAAAGTTGACAAACAAAATCATCCATACATCAGCTTCCCACATTAAACTGAGTTAGTGTGCTGTGAAATCTTTACTAAGTGTTTATAGCTTATAAGTTGTAATCATGGAATTTGTTACCTAATACTGACTGGAAAGGATGAGACGAGTTAGCATTTAAATGGTGTTTGAACCAAAATATGATGAATGAATAAAAACACAGATTACCTTTATTTGGATTAATAGATAAACTCAGCCAGAAGTGGAATGTTCCAACTAAATGTATGACCTCGGTAAGAGTCGCATCTCCATCACAACAACAGAAAAATGCAGCTTGAAAAATGAGCATGGCGGCAGTAGCTGCCGTTTGCCTGGCAGAGGGAAAAGCAGCAAGCAGCAGAGGAAAACAGTGTTTTGATTAAAGTAGCAGCAGGTCCAGCCTTCCAGGGATACTCTTAAAGGTTGTTTCCCAGACAGGAAGTCTGGTGGCACATGGAGCCAGGGAACAAGCATGGGTGCATGGTGGACAACACAACACAGCTTTATTTTATACTCTTAATAAACAGTAGCTGATAATAATCTCCTCAATGTACTGAGGTTTTTTAGAACTATGTTTGAACATGTTTTATTTGCAATAACATTATTGTAACCATCATCACTTCTCCACAATTATACTGAAAAAGTAGTGTTACACTATTTCAGTAAAGCCTGTGATTAAATCCTGACCCTGCATTTAAATGGCTATGTAAGCAGCCAGCTGTAAGAGAAGTTTAATTAACACTAACTTATTCAGCCTAAACCAGTCTGAGACAACGCTGAAGAAAATCCCAAACAGAGTTCTACAAAAACAATAAATTGGATTTTTTAATAAAGCATTTAAGAAGTCCCAAGATGCAACAAAAAAACAAGCTGATGTCAAATCTTAGCAGAATTAATAAACATGAAACGCTCCATGTAGGTTAACTCCTGCTACACAGAGGAATTATTGTGCACAATGTCAAACCGACTGAACTGAGAGGGCAGACAAAAACATGCACTCTCCCTGCAATGACTGAACTGACTGCATTATGCAGTATGAAGCAAGCGGAAAGGAATCCGTAAGCCCATCACAAGGACTGTACTATCTTGCAGTTGGCCGTTAAGAGCAGGACAACAAATCACGACTGCTGAGCCATTTAAATCATGTAATCTACAAAACAGGAAGGATGTTAACAGTCAGCAATCAGGGGTGAATACAGGAGTCCCAATGAGAGGAGGCATTTTCTAACAAGTGAAGCTTTTTAATTAACCACATCAAAAAAGTTACATTTTTAGATTTTCAGATTAAACTGGGTAGGAGTGAAAGATCACTTCACCAGCAGGGACGTGCCATCACTAAATACAAATGGAAGTATAAGGATTTGGAATGCTTGTATGTCCTCGGACGCTTGTGCATTTCATGGTTTTGGTGAAAGTTAAGGAGGTCCACGTTGCTCTCGGGCACAGGCAGACACCCCCACCAGAAATGGGTGGGTAACAAAAAAGTGGTTTCAGTGGGTTTAAATAGGGTGAAAACAGAAGAAGCGTGGTTCGGATCAGGTCCCGCACTTCAGATAATTACATTATCCTTATTTAAAGCTGCATCATCACTGGATTTTATGTTAAGAGTGGATCAACATGCAATGTGAAAAGATAAGGCTTTCAGTGACACAGAATGATCAGCCCTCTCAGTTCTTCTAAGGTTTAAAGAGCTTCTTAGCATCTTTAAGCGCATTGTGTGGCTTTAGGACCCCCCCAGTGACATCAACCCTATTTTCAGCAATTAGTGCAACTTCATTGTTAACATTTGTATACTGCAGTTATATCATTTTACTGATCTTCAAAGTCCAAGCGAGTTGAAACACAAAAAATTTATTTGTGGTGTATTAATTTTTATTCTCATGCACTGCATAACAGTAGAACACAAGTCAATGACAAAGTATTAGTCAGTTGACTGAAAACTAATTAGTAATTGTGCTGATTCACTGTTTATCATTTTTCAAACATTTTTCTGCTTCAATGTTCTCAAATTTGAAGAATTGCTGCTTTTCTCAATTTTATTAGATCTGAAGCAGAATTCTCCTGGATTTTGGTCTATTGGTGTAACAAACTAATCAAGCTCTGTAATGGTCTTTTGAATTCCTATTCACTTGTTAAAAGACCAAATGATTAGGGTAACCAAGACAATAACTTTCAGATTAATCAGCAATGAAAGTAACATTTAATAGGTTGTAAGGCTGCACCAGTTTGTTGATTTTGCATAAACTAGCCATATCAAATTACGTATGAATATCAGAAAATATCCCGATCAATACAGTGATAATGACTTAAATAAAAAAAAAAACCCTCAGCCTTAACGCAGCGGTTTCTGTGAATGGAGGGAGGATGGGTGTTGGGAGAGACTTGTTGTGAAGCAGAGGAGCCAGAGTGATAAACATATACAAGACATGAAGGAGGACTGTACAGTGCAGCTCCAGCAACACAGGCCTTTGGCAATGTACAGCCACCCGCCCCCAAACCAGTCTCCTTCTTACTGAAACATTCCAGACTAAAATCACGTCAACTACAACCTACTGCCTCCACTGACCAATAAACCACCTACAGTAATGTATGTTGACACACTCAGCCTCCTATAAGCCCTCTTTCCTCAACAGCTGAGATTAACAAGCAAAAAAACAGCATCAACATCAACATGAGAAAAGGCAGCAGCACTTCGCTGATGATACAGCGTCAATGGTATCTGGTGAGTCATAGACTGGGTGGAACTGACACATCACATCAGCAGCTGAGGGTTTTGGGCTCATGAGGAGATCACACAAACAGAAGCAACGATGCTACTTCTCAACTTCTTGTACAAGTAGATGTCACCTATAGGTTAAGAATTATTTAGTATATCATGAAAACCTTACAGTTGCTCCAATTCATAGATAGTGCATCAAAATGCATGTGCATATGAAAGTGGTTGCTCATAACACAGTTTGCCGTATAACTTGAATACGGTCATATATGCCAGTGTTGTGTTTACAGCTTAATTCTGCTGCCCCCAGGAGCTAAATCAGCTGTTGCAGGTTTAATAATTTGTGACTCATTTCACATTACAGGAAGACACTGAACATTTCATGTCTAAATCACTGTTTTGATGACTGAACACAGACATTGCTGTGGTCGTAGATGTGTTCTGTTAGACTGAGTTAGACCGTTTTGTCATCCTGCTTTCTATCCTGATGTTATTTCCTCGATGGGGCCTGCTTCGCTCATCTTCCTACCACATCCATTGGTGTGACGTAGGAGCATCATTTTATCAGTACAGATACAGCAGCACATCAGGATGCTGTAAACAGCTGCAAAGCAGCAGGTTGGACTCTCCTACTTAACTCAAAAGGACAATGTTCAGGCGCTTCAGCACTGCAGTACAATTTTGCACTTACACAAGCTGCTGAAGTACATAGGCTGCTGCACTGAGCCATTAGCAGCCACATAAGCTGCAAATGACTAACACTTTCATAATTCAACAGACGATTTTCTGTCCTTGCCCTCCCTCATCTTGCCACCGACATAATCCACACAACATAATCCCAGTGTAGAAGTGTGATATAGGACTAGGACACTGATCCAGCTGGTTAATTAATGGCACACACTGACATGCTCACACCCACCCTGGACCTTGGATCATAAATCATACAGCACTAGAGTAAACACACAAGGAAAACAAAGAGTAATGATGGAGAGGGACTTTGTCACACAGCATAGTGCTTAATGACGGTGTAAGCTAGGTAGACACTGGTGTGGTGTGCGAGACTGAACATTACTGAACCTCTCACAGCTAAAACAATAGCTCTGAGATGCAGGCTTCATTCTCCGCATCTGTATTAAACACCAGAATAGTGTTAAGGAACTGTTTTGAGTGTAACAACAAAAGGTATTTGGAGCATTTAGTTTATTTGTTATCTCTTGTAAGTGCTGGTTCAACAGTCTGGTGCCCCATCATGGAGCAAGGTCTCTATGGCGCACTCCTGAACCTCAGTCCAGACACTGAGCTGTAAAAAAAAAAAAAAAAAAAGAAACAACTTGAGGCCCGAGGTCCTAGGTTTGCGAATTCCAAGCATTTTTCGCTCTGCTAGGGTCACCTCGATTCTGCTGGGGCAGAGCTGGGATTTCACAACAGAGGTGGAATGTAAACCTGCCTGCTGCTCATCACTGCAACATATTTAAAGGGAGGTATGCACTTTTGAGAGCAGTCGAATTACAACCCAGACATCACCACATACTGCACTGCTCTCCATCAGCGAGCAACGGCGTACAAGTCTCATCAATGCTGGTGGCCTGTAAGCTCTCTTAGCCAGCACAGCTTTTTGGTGGAGAAAGGACCTTTGGCTGATGAAAGCGGGGCTAATGGCCAGAGGAAGGGAGTGTCGGGGGTGCTCTGTGTGCTTTTTTTCTAGTGAAAGGCCATTTCACTGCTGCTGTTCCCATAACAACAGGCTACATACAAGGGGAGGTGGAAGGGTGCGTCACAAAGTTTCTCTTTTGGCTCCAAGACACCAAGCCCTAGGGTGCTATGGGGCATTTAACAGGGTCCAAGCCCAAGGAAAAGGGGGCCCTAGTGGAAATAGTTCCCCCACTGAAGACCAAATTACAGGCTGCTTGCTTTCCTGTAAAAGGGTATTTTGTTTTTATTTTTTCCAACCAAGAGATCAACCAAAGACTACAAGGCCTTTACTCTGTGGTGTGGATCATTCTGAAGCTGTACAGAGGCCTCTGGCATAAAAAAACACCCACAAGTAGAGCTGAGATACACATTAAATCGCTACTAAACTGATGCTGTAACATAAACCTAGATTTCAAAAGGACTGTTAGTGCAATAGCCTGCTGTTAGAGTAATGTTTTGTGTTCATAAAAGCTACACTAAAGCTAAATGATGCACTTTTCTGAACTTGACAAACCCACTCTCTAAGAATGAGAAGAAGAAGTGTCATTGCACCATCAATGTGTTGTTTACATGTGTAGGTTTGGCCACAAGCAGCACATAAGATGGGCATTTGTTGAGACACTGACTGGTGAGGTTGTTGCTGCTGAAGGTTACAAAGTAGGTTGAGGTAGGGAATGACAACATGGTAGCCACAAAGTGCCATTCAGATATCAGTTAACCATGAACAGCTGAGCTCAATTGTCTGCACCGAAAAGTGTCAAAACACCACAGTTTGCATCGCGCAGACTGAAAATGACACCGGCGTTTATTCACACGAAGGGGAAAAACTGCGGCGTATCCACACGCACCGGTTTCGCATTGAAGCTGTACACGAACGGACTGGTGAATTTTTACAAGTCATCATCTGCCCGGCAGGAGAAAACTAGGCCTGTGGCTATATTGAGCACCACCCTGCAGCCCTATTTCAGATTGCATTTAAATGCGACATGTGCCGTGTGCGTGAGGACCAAATGGGCAAAGAGCTGCGCAAAAAGAAGCAGCTGAAATTAATTTAAGGGCTTTTCTACGTCTGCTTACCTGCAGATGTTCCTGAAATCGTATCGGTAGTATCTGAGCCATTTCTGGAGGATTTCTCTGTCTGAAGAAGCCGCGAGGAAGGAAAGGGGAAGGGGACAATAGGAGGAATAGAGGTGGCCTTGTTCTGTATGTGCCCTAAACGTCCCCAAACGTCAAAAATGATGGGCAATCGTAGGAGGTCTGAGTGGTATGCGCTGGTTTCACACGAATCCTCTGACTGTTCCCATTCACTAGTCCCCCTACACCAGTCCTGAATCAAAAAGTCCGCACCTCCGCCAAGAAATCTAGTCCTTTTCAACTACTACTGATCCCTGAGTGTAAACCAGTTCCTCCGCGAGCTCGTAAGGATACGGGGCAGTCCTAAAAATCCGCACTGACTTATTGCAAGTGATGACTTCACACAGATTGCTCCTGTTGTTAGGATTGGATTTCAGGAGTTACAGATGTTTTATTTACTGTTAGTATTATTTTGCTTTTATAATGATAGAGTTTAGTATGACTGTCTCTGTTTCTGTTTTATTAACAGCACCATGTATCAGTATTAACCTGGCTCTCAGCTTCGAGTCAACTTGTAGTATTTTTCATCTTCTTGGAAAATTGTGCAATAATAGATTGCATAGATAAGTGTCGTTCTGGAAACTATAGATAAGATACTGTTATTTTATGCTATTTTACAGACGTTAAGTCTGACGGGCTTGAACTATTCACTCATGTCTGAAGCATGAGTAAGAGGTTTTTACAACAGAATCAGGGAAGTAAGTGACACAGCTAACTGCATGTCCACTTTTAGTTAGAGAGAAACGCCTGAAAATAGAGAAACGCCTGAAGATAACAACAACACACACACATACATACTGCCTATATGAACATTTTAGAATATTTACGTGTAACGTACCACCCATGTACAGGGCAGTCCCAGCCCGAGAAGATAAATGTGAATGATTTTTGATTATCGAGGCTCTTGGAGACTTGTCATCTCTCAGAGCCCAGCGCTGTAATAACTCTGCATTTAACTAGAAGAAAATAAATCTACGTAAAGCGGATTCCTGTTTCCTGAGTGTTACTTCTTGGGGCCTTCAGATAAAAGAACCGGTTGTAGTTAAAACTGTCGTGGATTTTAATCCGTCAGAGCTGTCAATGCAGACGTCGGACGTGCCATTTGTACCCCTCCGCCACAGCCCCTTCCTCCTCCTTTCCACCAACTTCGAGAGCAGGGCTAGTGACAAGCGCCCCGCCTTTCCATCAATTCTGTAAAATCACACATGCTCATCTTTCCAAAAAGTGTGTTACTGCATGAATGACACACTGGTCTGTATCTCAGAGGACCGCTGACGTTTTAAAATGTTCTTCCAAGAAACTGCATCTTTTTTACTTGCAAAAAAATCTCATCTATTGCCCTTTCATCATCATTTTCATTATGCCTGGTTGTGCACAAATAAGAAAAAAAATACTCCTAAGAGTAAAAAATCAAGTTTAACAAAAACGTTGTCATACAGTGGACTCAGATTTTAAAGACATGATGAGACTGACACATTTTCGCACATGGAAAAAAAAATGAAAAACAGCATAAAAACAATCTTTGGTCCTTTTAAAGGTCAATCAGTTTTAAAAATATGCTTCCTTTTAATCAACAAAGGCCCATACACTACTGACGTGAATCACTGTCACACACAGGATGTCGCCACAAAGTACAATGTGGTTAAAAAAAGCTACAGATCTTAAGGTTTGCACAATACAGTACTGGAAGTTGGTAAAAAAAAAAAAAGAGAGAGAGAGATAAGTGCTACATAAACATTTATGATAATGGAAGAAATGAGCAACAAAGTTTGATAGTGCAGACACTTTTTTCTCAGTAAAGTACTTTATAATTTTGTTATGGAAAGTGCTGTGCACATGAAGTATTATGGAAAGTTGTATTTATAGTAGAATGTTCCAGCTATTAATAAAGCAGAAAATATGTTCCATGTACTATAATTTACCCTGTGATAGAGCAGAGTGAATACTGTAGGTCCCCATTATATTTTGTTATATTTCTGAGTGAAAAATGAAAGGACTAGGGGGCTTAAGTCACTAACCAGGTGTCTTTCTCTGTCCTGTCCTCGTTTTTTAGTGAGGCCGCAACAGTAACTTTTAAATAAATGTAAAAACACCCAGAAACTGAAAAAGAAATACAACAAACTCTAGCTTAAAATGAAAGAGTCTTACTGCATTAAAAGTCTTTATTGCTGCACTCATGATTGTAGAAGAAGTGGGTGGTCCACTATATGTTGCAAATCGCACAGTGTTGTTGGAGTCAGGCTGCTGACAACATATCAGCTGTAGTCCTGTAACAGAGCTTCAAGATGCCCCACACCCACCTGCCAAATTACAATGGTTCCAGGAAGTTTAGTTCTCATTCATGCCACGGGCCTATGCAAATACAGCAGCTACAGTCACATAAGCCATGTAATACGATTACACAACTAAGAAATGTATTATTAAAAAAAGTCTGTTTTAAAAAGCAAAGGACAGTGTCTGCTCTGCTAAGGTCAAAGGCTGAGTTTAGTCCATGCTACATATAAAATTTCAGTGGGACTTATTACAAGTTGACCATTTTTCCATCTCATACAAGCTGATATCCTTGTGAAGAGATTGGTCAAAGTGATCATAATGACTGATTTAACTGCAACTAAGTAGATAATGGTGATTCTTTGTTTCTGCACATCCTTATTCTGCCATGTGGGATTGTGGCAGGGTCAGTAATTATGGTTGGCCACTGAGGAGGTGGTTTCATCCTGGCAGGAAGCAGGTGACACACACACACACATGCAAACACACACCCGAGACAAGTCTCACACACACACACACACAGCTCCCAGTGTCTCAGATAAAGCCACAAACCCTTATAGCTCACCATTACAATGCTTGGACAAAAAAAACTCATGGGCATATGACAACATTCAGTCAAAGGATGTTCCACTAAATAAACCCCCCATACCACAGAAACCCCAACTAAAGAGCTGGAATCAGTTAAGGGATTTGGGTTAACTTATAGTTACTGGTCAGCAACAGTAAATTTAGGGAAACTATGAAAGTGCAGTAAAATGTAACATACAATATATTAGAAAGATACAGTATAGTACACACCAAATCTGTACTCATGACTAAAAAATGGCAATCAAGGGTTCATCACACATGGTCTCATTAATGTAAATCAGTAGGAAGGCACAAGCTCTTGCAATGTAGTTTGATATGAAGAGCAGAAGTTTACATGTTTGAGTTTCTCCATCCAAAGGCAGACACTTCCAGATGTTTCAGTTTTACATTGACACATTTTCCTTTTTTCCTAAAGAAGTTAACTGTGTTGCTAAAATGATGACATGGCACAAAAATGGTCAGAACTTGAATCTTTAGGTTTCAGTTTATGTTGCTGTCATGTGGCTGCTGAGCAAGAGGCTGTGAGCTTTTCAACATCTCTGCCAATATTTTAGTGCTTTGAAAGTTTGCATTGTCTATTTCATTATACTTTTGTGACCCTGATAGGATTTCCAAGTGAGAAACTTTCAGTCTTTGCTATCACTGTGTGACTCGTGAACATAACATCAGAGGATAATAGCAATGTAGTTTTTAAGGGCGTGCAGGGTGAGTTAAATATGTCGTGTGCTTGGCCTTGCTCTTGCTGTCAATCAAAAGCAGCTGGTTATTCCTGTGGTGAGAAATCATTTCATCGAGGCTGGTGAAAATCTGAGCAAGAGAAACAAATGGACAAATGTAATTACATTCAAAGTCTAACTTTCTAATTATTACGTAAGCAGCAATCTTTCCACAACTCTGCTCTCTTTGTCGCCGCCTTCTCTGTCTCCTTGCTGTCTCTCTTTACAGTACCTTCGCCTCTATCAAACCTGTTTATTTGCCCTCACCTCTTCATTCTTCTTGCCCCCTTTTCCGAGAGCATAGTCTTGTGTTTCCTCCAGGAAGCGGATGGGAATATTGTACACCTTCTGCTGGTAGAGAACAGCTAAGGTGTACGGCTGGCAAGTGTTCTGGGTCGAGCTGTGTCGGATGAGAAAAGCACCATCCTACAACATGGAAAAAGAGACGAAAAACTGGAAATTCTGAGCAAAATTGACACAATAGAAAAAGAAAGAATGGAGAAGAAAGCTTTGATAAGAGAATCTTCAATCCATCTCCATCTTCAATCTCTCCCTCAACCAGAGCATCGTTCCCACCTGCTTTAAGACCACAACCATCGTCCCCCTTCCCAAGAAGAGCCCAGTCACCTGCCTGAACGACTACAGGCCAGTGGCGCTCACCCCAATCATTATGAAGTGTTTTGAAAGAGTGATGCTAACCCACATCTGGAGCAGTATACCGGACACCCTGGACCCCCTGCAGTATGCCTACTGGCCCAACAGGGCCACCCCAGACACCACCACGGCTGCCCGTCCCTATTCCCCTTCTCACCTCGAAAATGGAGACTCCCACATCAGGAAACCG